TTGACGTACTTATATTTTGACGAACTTTTGGAGAACTTTATGCTTTCAGTAACCGGATGATTTTATTAAAAATATTAAATAACGGTTTTCCAAATTAAGTCACGATTTAAAGGTAGCACCCCTAATCAGTTTTCGCAAAGTAAAAAGGTTTTATTTTTAAAAGACTTTGCGAAATTTTCGCACTCTGATTTTACGATAAGGAGGGGTGTTACACAGAAAGGAAAGTAAAATGAGGGTGACGGGTCCTAATGGACTCCTTGATTTGGGAAATTGTAGAGACCCCACCCCGGCCTCTACAATTTCACACTAGAGCTCTCATTGATCACTTAGGGGCCACTTGAGGCTGGCCTTCTCCACCTTCTTTGGACTGTTTCTGGCTTTCTTTAGAGCACCTTCATCCCTCCCTCCTTCCTCATCCACTGTAATCAAATTTGTACCACCCTGTCTTCCTCTCTTCATTCCATGCAGATGGATTCCACTGCTCTCCTTCTTTTCTCTCAAGAGCCTGCCTTCTTTATTACCCACCCTCTTCCAGGTTTTCTAGAGAGCTAAGTGTTGTTCTGCAGCTGGGAGTATCTCAGGGTCCATCACCATGAGTTGTTTTTTATTCTCATCAGTCACATCAACCATCTCCTCTGTGGATATGTGCACCTGCTCTCTCTCAGCAATTTGATTCTCTATCAGTTGTTCACTTTTTCTGTCCACTTCTCTATCTGCCCTTGCTACCCCCTGTGAGCTGTCTATGTCTTTCCTTGAAGAGCTGGACTCGACCATACTAAAGTTCTTGATTGCTTTAACTGTCCCTGTTCTCACCTCTCCTCCTTGGAATTCCACCAAATCATGTTGGCCAGATCTAGTCCTGCCCAGACTCCCTTGTTTATTCCTTTGCTCTTTTGAGTTAACTGGTTCTTTATCTGCTGACTGGCTTGATTGCCTAGAATTATTAAAGGATTTAATCTCTCCTGCCTTAAGCCAATCCCCATACTGCCCCACCTTTATTTCCCCCTTCTTAATATATGCTTCTTTACCTGAGCAATCACGGTCAAGATGCCCTAAGAACCCACAGTAGTAGCAGAGGTTAACTAACCTCTAATACCTGAAGCTTACAGTAACTTTTTAATCTCCCAATCTTAATGTGGTACATCGGGGTATAGCTTTAGTAACATCCACTGCAGCTAGCAACCGAATGATTCTGCCTCCTGCACCTAAATCTGTTGTGATCGTCACATTTTTAACTTTCTTAAACACTCTTCCCACCTTCACACCAAATTCCACACTCAACCATTCCAAGGATAGATTGTACACATGAGCCCATAGATAGACTTCATCAAACTCACTATCAGTTTCTTTAATTCCTTTCCTCCACTCCTGCAGTACTAAATACTGATTTTCGAAAATCCAATTTGTTCCCAGTAACACCTTCTTCAAATTGCTCCGGTTCTTAAAAATGAATTGAAAATAATTAAAACTTATCTCCCGAACCTCCATCCCCTGTTGAGTTCTCTAAATGCTCGCCATAGTTCTTTTTAGTCCCACCAGCGATGCTCTCTTGTTTCCAATTATCTTCCCTATCAAACTCCTTTTACATTCCTCAGCACTCGCCGAAATATCAGTATTCGAAATGTCAATAACTTCGTTTTCCACCCCAGCTAGTGAGAAGTTCTTGAGGCGATTGGACATTTCTGTCTCCGCATCGGCCGCACTCTCTCGATCCCCCATTGATCTCCCAGAAACCCTAAATCCACCCCAATTGCCCTGTGAAAACCCTCTCTAGGTATACCTCAATCAATGGAAAAAACCCTCACTCGACGGAATCCCTACCCTCACTCGACGGAATTTCCCCCCTCTCTAGACGGAATCGCCACTCCCACTTGAGAGAATCTTATAATATGGGGTTTCTAATATCTACCAGCTCCTGATTTGTCTATTCTAAAAGCACCATAATAATCCAAGATACACAAACATGCAGCCACCAGAATTGAAAATTAACAATTTCAACATCTTGAGACTCCAACTGACACCATTAATCTTCCAATAGGCTTTAGCTTTGGGGCATAAAACCAAAGTGTTATTTAAACCCTCCTCAGCCTCTCCAGCGAGCACAAATAAAACCTACCACCTTAGCTTTTATATTCAGTTGCCTTTTTGAACCGATGTATTCAAACCAACATCTCAACAAAAAATTCTTCACCTTTGGTTAAACCATAAATTTGCATGTTGCCCTCCACATCCTTCGAATCATCATATTTGTACCTGCAATTACAGGATCAGATGTTGTATAAATAAGATCATGATCCCATTATCTTTTTCCTTCCTTCATTTTTGAGTCCAAACCGAAATAGCAGTACCATCCCCCACTCTAAAACTAACACCCATCTCTAAAACCTTCCTAACCCCAAAAGACTTTTCCCCTACCAAGAATTATGTGCTTTGGGTGACACAGCCAAAAATCCTAGACTGCCGATAATTTATGACGTTCATCACTCTACTAACTACCAAAATTGTATATCCCAAATAATTGATGACCTTCATGTTCACAACATATTTTACCAATAGTTTTGCAGTTTATAGAAATTTAGCGTCATCTATAATCAAATAGTGTAAATACATGTACAATATATGAAGAAGTGAACTGCAAAAGGGTTGGGTTGCTTCTTCATCCAACAGGAGCAAGTTAGTGGTGAATGACCTTAAATGACAAATGATTAAAATATAATGTCATTTCTCCATGTACTGATATAGTGGAAATTAGCAACAACGGGACACAATCATCATCCCGAGTGAGGCATTTCATCAAGCGTGTTATGTGCTACTTGAGATTACACCAAAATATAACATTCAAACCTCAGTTAACCAATCCACCTCCGTATATGAAATGAAAATCAAAACATGACAACAGTTCCAAATCCATAACACGGTTCATAACACGAATACAAGTGCAGCGAGCAAACGACCTGGAATTGAATAAAAAAAAAACAGAGAAACCTACGACATATATTGTAACACTCCGGACTAATATTATATTAATAGCTCGACTTATTTATCGGATTTAGTATTATTTTAATTATGCGGAGAATTATTCATATTAATTGTATAATTTATTTATTACTAAGCCCATGTAGTATTTTAAAATCGAGCCTAGTAGCAATTATTTATTCGAGCCCAAGTTGTTAAAATCGAGCCCATTTAATTAGGCCCGATTTTTAAGCCCAATAGCACAACAAACCCTAAGCTCCCTACTCCTATAAATAGACATTGTCTTCATGTTCCCTAACATCACAACAAAAGAGCAAAACCCTAGCCACCCCCAAGCACTATTCATTGTCTTCCCCATTTGTTCAAGATCCAAACACCATTTTGTCTTAAGCTTGTCCAAGAACACAAGCTTCATTCATGGCTTGAAGATCCAACCGACCCGTTTTCCGGCAAGACAAATCGCAGCCACCACGAGCTCGTTTCCGGCGACCAGCTGCCATCTCCGGCCGTCCTCCTCAGCTCATTTTCCGGCCAAGAACCGAGCAGCCCTTTTTCGCACCAAACCCGCGTCCAGGCCGCAGCAGCCCGTCCAACCCGCAGCAGCCCGTTTGACCCGACTGGCTTCTTGCTCCGTTTTTCTTCCGTTTTCGAGTCCGATCCGTTCTTTTCCGATCTCGTGAGGTATAATATCTAAAGACTTGAATGATATGGAATAAATTGATGATTAAAACGAGATAAAAATTAATTGAGATGTTGATTTGAGTTGGATCGGTACTCACGAGCTTAAAGCGGATAAATTGATATTTTCGATAGACGCGTTAAAAATGTTGAAAAAATATGATAAAATTCGTATAGCTGACTTGAGGCCTAGGTTTTAATTTCGTAAATTTTGGTGCTCGTTTAGTATGTTAACTGGATTTTTGAATATGTAGCTGAAATGCCCGATTTTTGATAAAATGATAAGACCTCGGAATTCAAGGAAACTTTCACGAAAAATCCTATAAATGATGAATATGTCGTGGTTTAAATTTCATAATTTTTAGAGGTTTTTTGGCATGCCTATAAATTCGAGACTTTAGCTGCTTTGGTGAAAACCCTAGATTTATCCGGTTGAGACTTGGCTAAAATTTCTAGAAATCAAGTTGAACTTAAAGTTTGAGTTTTTGACTTGAACCGAGATGGATAGTCGAGTGAGTAGAGAACCCTAGTCTGGCCTTATTCGGTCAGTCCGGATGAACTCTAGATCCGAGTAGAAAATTGTGTGTCGACTGATGTCGTGTCCGTGCGTATGCACCCGGACCACGATTAAGTCGAGTTGCACCCAGTCAGATAAATAAGATCAGATCAGTCAGATAAGTTAGATCAGATAAGCAGACCAGACTTAGAAATATTTCAGAGAACTCTATAATGCCTCAAAGTCAGCAAATCTTTTCAGAACAGCTCAAAGCATCTAAATCCAGATTAAATGATATTTTAATCAAGCGAGAGAATCGAGTAAGATTTATTAATAATAAGAATCAAGTTTTTATTTGAGCTTAGTACTTAGTACATTTTGCTCGAATATTTATGTAGCTTAAGGAGAGTCGAGCCTCCGACAGCTACCAGTGAGTCAGCACTTGCCTAGCAGTAGCAGTTATCAAGTGGGGGTCACGTACTGGTTATACTTCATCTTTAATTTCCGTACCATGTCCGAGGTATGTATGAGAAATAGTTAGATCATCATGAGGCAGGCCGTGGCGGGCCTTAATGTTCC